AAACAGCCTGGATAAGGAAAGTACAAAGCCATCTATGTTTGGTTTTCGTAGTGGGAGAAAACCCATCTTTCCTATTTTCTTTTTCGTAGTGGGAAAAAACCCAGTTCTTAGTGAATAGCACATGACATCTCGATGATTTTCTATAGTTGAAACGGTTGACATCGTATCTTTGTAAACCTATTCTAGCTTCAACATTAACCGTTCAATTTGTTTTATTTAATCAAAGTGCAACTACCTCTAGCAGAATGTTTAAAAGAAATCGTCGTCAGGCTTCATCTGATTTGTGGACGTTTCTTAATACGCATAGCGATATACTGTACATTTACAGTAATTATACAAGTGTTATGAATAAGAATTATCTAGCACAACAGGTTAGGTTTCTTAGCAGAGAAATTTGAGAGAGTGACGTAATTTCATCATCATTACAATTCATGTTTAAAGCTGATCTAAATATAAATCTAACAAATGTTACGACTGTTATATTAGCGTCGCTTGTTAATTTAGTTTATGTCCGACTATCCACATGTAAGTCGAAACTCTACTTTCCTCTGTTCTCTCAGAAATCTCTTTTCACTTTCTTTAACACTAGTTTTCGTTCTGGAAGTCTTTGTTAGTGGTTGTTTTGGTGTTAAATGTCGTTTAGATGTCACATAATTTAATATTGTACATGTATCGCAATATGATTTTGAATTGATGTCTTATAACGCATTAGGCATACTCACATATATCACTGCTCAACCATTTTATGTGTCACATATAACAAGTGAGTTATGTTTCCTAATATTTGTGTTTAGTGCATTTCTTCTCTTTGTGGGTGGTAATGAAACTTCGTATTATATTGCAGTTGATACAACGTTAGTAGAGTTTTATTCAAGCTTCTATACTTTTGGTACGTGGCGAGAGTGTTAAACTAGATCTGACTCTTTTCAGCGTTTCATTTCGAAAATCGTTACTGTTCGCAGCTAGACACTGTTGTAAAAAAATAAAACGGACGTGCTCGGCAATTTAATTATATAAACATAAGCAAGGGTCATCTTCTAAATTGTAATACTTGTTTAGGATCCTCCTCGGCTCTGTGATCAACAGCTTCATGGTATTCTAATACAGTTACAATTGCTGGTGGTACAGGGAGAGGTTAAGCAATGAATCAACTTGATCGACCCGACTGAATTTGATGATCGCGTCCGACTATCGTTTACTAAAATATTTTACAAATAATACAATTGTTACTCTGTTAGCTAACTTGACTCAAGAAATTCATAATGTATTCATAGATCAATATGATAATATTTATTTTACAATTCTTTTTCAGAATTAGATTATAATAATGAACGTATACTCGAAGTGATACAAAACTCACAACAAGGAAAAGTTATTGCTGGTGGAAATAGACGTGGGAATCGATCTAATCAGTTGGAATATCTAGTGGGAATTAAGTTTGATTCAAATTGGAGCTTATACGTACATTTTTTTAATAAATCAAGAAATATGTGTTCCATAATTAAAGGGTTAAAATAAAGCGAAAATCATCAGCCATGTGAAGACGACGACGACGAATGTGGCCACCGGCGAAATTTTTATGTGTCGTATTTTATAATATCTATTAAAAGAAAAAGATTAAAATATTGTAAAGCTAAAATGAATACCTTTCGTAAAGTGAATTGAGTTCTGCAGTTGAATCAATGAAAACATTTATTTGTTTATGTTTGTCAACTCGATTGGTTACATAGAGCACTCCAAAACATTTTTCGAAAACGTTTTTTAGAGAACAAATATATCTGTTTTTATGCAAATTTTGGTTTGTTCGAAAATAAAAAATCACTTGCAAAAATTTCAGAATTAGTATAGAATGGTAGGCTATTTTTGACAGTGATGTGCGACGACATGTCTTCTACAGATCCTCGCGAAGACAATCGCGAGTATAACCCCACATTTCTAATTTGCTCGTCTGCTTTACATTAGGCCATTAGACAATTTCCAAATTCTTTGCCCAGCATTCATCACTCTATTTTCTTCGTCATTGTAGAATACATTGTCGAGTAACTCGAGCACAAGCTCTTGAACGATTCGTGTTTGACCAATAAGTTCTGGCAGATAAGTTAGAAATTCGAGTACATATTGCATCCGCTCGATACATTCATGTTGCCGTTGGGCTGACGTTCGAAGGCGAATAAACCATATAGTCATTACTTGTCGGTATATGATTAGTGGAAGTTGATTGACTTGAACATACTCGCAAGGGATTAGTGCAACATAGCATTACTATTTGGTGCATCGAAAGAATTTGTATTCTAGTATATCGTCAATGGTAGACAAAGGATTTTCTGACCCTATTGACATTCGTATAGCTTGCTACTTAGTGTGCTACGACAGGAGACTTCTTTCTACTGGATAGTGTAAAATTTAAAGATATTAATTAGACATTTTCGCCAGGAATTTCTGATGCTAAATTTTTGAAGACAGAAAGAACCGCGATTTTCCCTAAATCTGAATATTAGAAAAACATTCCGATAACTTTGTTTCATTCAAAAGTTTTGCCATCATGTACTGCCATCATGTACTGCCATCAAGTACTGCCATCATTCAAAGCCTCTTAACTCTTTGAAAAATGGCTGCATCCTTCTCAACCACATCATCATCAACAAATTATCTCAATAAGTGAATATGATAATATTGATGAAGATGATGGAGATCATTTAGATGCGCAAAGAAACATCTATGCAAGGTGAAGTTTAGCTGAGAAATTAAGTAAAACCTTTAACCACGACACGCGGGTCGGTCAACAGGATAAAAGTTGCATAGTTGTCATCAAACCCTGGTCGGATTCCATGAATAATAGAAAATTGGCTGCAGTTGTAGCTCAGAAACTACCGGATAGTCTATGGTAGCTGAATGTCAGGTTGGATTGGCGAGCAATAATTTGTGACCACTTCCAAAACCTGGTAGTATGATGGCGGCAGCAAATCAAGACATTAGCTGCGCGTACAAAGTGAAATTTGATTGTATGTATGACCGAATGTGGATGAAGAGTCACTGAGACGTGCTGTAGTCGTACATAGTCTCTAGCTTTTTATCTGATTTTGTTTAAATAATTTTCCCTAAATATTGTTCTGGATTATAGAAGAGAAAGAGGAGAAGAAAAAGTTTGAAGATATTTCTCTTGACTATACTTTTATTCTAATCGATTGCATTTTCATAATGATTTATACATTTTTGCACAGATAATTGTAAACATCAAAATTTCCAACCTCCACACTGAAACGGTCGAGATAAACGTGTTGCAGAGAGGAAAGAAAACAAAACAAAGTTGCGGTAAAGTACCTGAAAAACTTGGAAAACGTTTGTTTTCTCACTCCGACCGAATGTTCGTCACTCTATGATTGAGAATGGAGACGAGGAAAAGAACGAACTTTAGAAGTCCACAAATCCGAACAAACATGTCAATCAATACCGCGAATAGGCCTTTTTTTTTCTTTTTATTTGAAATAATTTTATCTTCACCTCTTGCTCTCTCACTCTTCTATACGTCCTATTAATATTATTAGAAAAATAGTTGTCTTAAAATTACGTAACGTTCACTTTTTGTTAAGTTGCGTTAATATAACTCAACTTTAAAAATGCCCCAATTCTGCCATTTCAGTACGCATCGACTATAAGTTAAAATTTGTTTTCGAGTTCTCTGCATAAAGATATGGAATGAAAACTAAATTTTCTCGTTTCTTCCCTGAATGAATATGAATAACAACCGTACAAGATCATCCTCATTAAACTTTTCTTCTCATTCTTTTGCATACAGCTATACTATCGTCTTGCATATATATCACTTTCCTTTTTCTGTTGTTGTAAAGAAGATTTACTAGAGAAGTGTGTTTCTCAAACGTTTTGTTGATGTAAATATTTTTCTGAATCGATCAAGATAAAATAGTGTGAAAATAGAATAGGAAGGAATAGAATGATCACCAATGCTGCAAAACGAAGTTGCACACTGCAACTAGAACAATTAGAAGCAAAAATTTTAAATTGAAAACTAGAAACAGCTATAAATAAGGCAATATATGTACAGTGAAAGATCAGAGACCAGTGATTTCAGATTAGGAAACTCTGTTCATGATATGGTCTAAGCCGTTCAACATGAATCGGACTTAAAACAGCGCCATCATCTTCAGATATTAGCTCATAATCTAGAGGACCGACTTTTCTCGCGATACGATAAGGTCGATGAATTTAGCGGCCAACTTAGGCGTCACCCATTTACCTAAAGCAGAACCAGCGGTATTTGCCATCAAAACCTTCTCGCCTACGGCAAATTGTACATTTTTACGATGTAAATCGTATGATGATTTTTGATTTTCTCGAGCTATTTCAAGATTCTCTTTAGCCGATTCATGCGCAGACTCTAAAATTGCTGTCAGACGTTCCGTGTACGACCGTACTTCACCGTATGATCTTAATTCATCAAGAACATCAACTTCTGGACCATACATTAAGTCAAGAGGCAATTTAAGTTCCCGATCGTACATTAAAAATGCAGGAGTTTCGTTTTGAGCAAAAATAGCCAGCATCGGCTTTGGTGTTCTATTAACACGCTCAGATAGGTTGGATTGAGGATGATAAAGAGCGGTTGTTCGATGTCGAATGCCCATGATTTTTAAAGTTTCTCGAAAAATCTCTGCAACAAATTGCGCTCCGTTATAAGAAACTATTTTTACCGGAACACCATGGCGGCATATGACTTCATCATGCAAAACTTGTGCGATTTTTTTCGATTTTATTCCCCCTAAAAGAAAAAGTTCTACCCATTTTGTGAAATAGTTGATAACAACTAAAATATAGGCATTTCCTCGAGGAGTTTTTGGGAGAGGACTGGTCAAATCGATTCCGATAGTATTCGACGGAGACTGAACTACGTGGGATTGCATTAAGCCAGCCTTCTTTTCATTCGCAGCCTTAAAACGCTGACACTGGTCGCACGATCTTACATATTGCGCAACGTCGCGCCTCATACCTTCCCAAAAGAAGCGAATCGATATTCGATGTAGGATTTTTCGGCGTCCAAAATGATCTGAAATTGAATGATCATGGGCTAATTTAAGAATCTCAAGACGTTTGGATTTATGAACAATTAGAAGACGCCGGCTAAGATTGTTTTAAGAGGAGAATCTTCTTCAAATTTTCGAATCCTGTATACTTTCCCATTAATAACTCTATGGATTTTGGCAAGATTTTCGAGTTTTCGATGTAAAACTTCATCATCAGGTTGAATATCATCTTGAATAAATGAAATAAGAGGGCTATAATTTTTATCCCGGCATTGAGCCAACTTTATATCATCTAAAATGTTACAATGGTCCCAAAGATTAACAGAAACTTCTTGATTTTCTTCTAGAGGACCGATAAAAATACCATTCGTTTGCAGGACTGCTACGACCTCAGATTTTAAAGGGTATCTGGAAAGAGCATCGATATTAGAATTGACTTTACCAGGATGTTGTTTAATAACCATGTTGTAGGCATCGAGTTTTATAGCCCATCTTGCTAGACGACTTGTAGGATCTTTTATGTTTCTCAGCCATTGCAAAGATCGATGGTCTGTCCAAACTTTGAATGGTCGTCCTTCAATATAGGGCCTGAAATGCTGCGTACCCCAAACAATGGCTAAACACTCCCGTTCAGGCGCTGAAAACTTTCTTTCACAGGCTGCAAAGTACGACTGACATAGGCTATTACATGTTCCCTGCGCTCAATATTTTGGGCGAGAACAACACCAAGACCATAATCACAGGCATCCAACTGTACGACTGTAACATAAACGGATAGTCAAAGTTAGGATAAGTGACTATAGGTGCAGTAATCAGCCATTCTTTTAATAATTCAAATGTCTGTTGACATTCGGGCGTAAACACAAAGATTGGGTTATGTTTTTCTCGAATCGAGTCAAACAAAGGCTCAGCTACTTCAGCATAATTTTTAATAAAACGTCTCTAATAGCCAGTTAGTCCTAGAAAAGCACGAACATCCTTTGTTTTACTAGGAATAGGAAACGACCTTACAGCCTCTAACTTTTCCGGGTCCGGTCTAATTGCTTGTGCGCTTACAATGTGGCCTAAATATCTAAGTTCTTGATGGCAAAAGAAACATTTTGATGGTTTTAAGGTCACCGATTTTAATGCGGTTTAGAACATTATCTACGTCTTTAAGATGTTGTTCAAAGGTTGGTGAATATATTATCACATCATCAAGGTAGACCATGCAACAGCTCCATTTCAAACCTCGAAGGACAAGATCCATGAGACGCTGGAAAGTCGCTGGTGCATCACCCAGTCCAAATGGCATCACATTAAATTGAAAGATACCTTCATGTGTGACAAAAGCTGTTTTTTCTTTACTGCCCTCATCTAACTCGACCTGCCAAAACCCTGATGTGAGATCTAAGGCGCTGAAATATTTCGCACCTTTTAAGCCATCGAGTGTATCATCGATTCTGGGAATCGAAAACGTGTCTTTCACGGTGACTTCGTTAAGTTTGCGAAAATCAATGCAGAAACGAAGTGTCCGTCTTTTTTAGGAACAAGAGTTACAGGACTGGCCCACGGTCCGAAACTAGGCTCAGTAATAACATTATTCAACATTTCGGCCGTTTGTTTAGTGCATTCTGCCTTTCTTTCAGGGTTTACTAATCGGTATGGACCCTGTCTGATCGGTCTAGAATCAACAACATCAATGTGATGTTTTACTATGTTGGTACAGCCAGGTTTTGAAGAGAAAATGTCTGAATATTGATATAGCAATTGCCTTAGTTGATTTTCCTGATTTACGGAAACCTCAGCTGATGTTAAATTGAGTTTTGAGAGCCAATCACCAGGATCACGTGTAGTATCTGTAGTATCTCTTGTTCTAATGATTAAGTGGCTCTAATGGTCCTTCAGCTCTTACAGCTGAAAGTTGAGAATCGACTAGTTCAAAATCTGCAAAATTTGTCCTCTTCGCTAACGGACGTACTGATACATTAGGGAAAGTGTCTGGCCTTTCATCACTTTGATTCTTAAAAACAGAAAGAGCAGAAAGCGAGAATAATGAACCAAAATCTCCTTCTCCAACATCTGTATCAAATTTAGTTTTTGCTTTCGGATTTTGAATGAATGAATACGATGGATCTTGTTGTTGAAGCTTCTTTCTGATCTTATCGATTTAAGCATCTAATTTTTTGTCTGTAATAGAATGAGAAGATGAGAAAGTTAGTATGTGAGTAAATCTTTTCCTTTTATTGATGTTAGTGCCAAACAAATAAATAGACAACTAAACAATCTCAGTGAACATATAAAGTACTAATTAGTAGCCTTGAATTGGTTATTACTAATTTGTGAGAAGCAGATGAGGTTAATTTTAAGAGTAATTTAAGTAACGTTTAATTCGTCAAGATGACAGCTGTTATAGACGTGTAGAAGAGATTTGTGAAGCTGGGGAAGAGAGACAAAGGCAGAGGAATACAATAGTTCGTCAACAGATGAATGAAACTCTAAAACAGAAAAAAAGACTATATTAGATAATGCGATGGAGAATAAAAATGACAGTACCTAAAAGATAAAAAAGCGGAATCATGAAAGACTAAATGCGCATACTAAGTTCCTCCTACCCATATATTGGAATAATCTTTCAATGAGGTTATTTTCGTCTGTCACCAAAGCGACTTAACTGTTCACTGACTAGAGTGCATCACTATGGTCAATTATCTGTCTTCATGAACTAAGTTCTGTGTTCTGTCTGGCATGTGCATAGTTTCTCTATATATAAAGATATATGAAAAATCTCAAAGCATCTTGACAGAATACTCAAGACAAGAATAGTCAAAAAAAAAAGACAAAATTCCTTAAAGATCTTACAAGACAAGAATACCCAAGTGCACTTTCTTGCTTGATTCACGGCGGGAACGCGGACCGCGCTAAAATCGTGCAACTCACGCCACGATCGGTAATAAGTCGCTTTTCTCGCGGCGCGTTAGCGACCAACCCTTATTTTACAAGTAGTTCGTGAACGCGACTCGACAATAGTGACTTTTTAGCGATCATGATCCGATTTCGCGATCCGAGCGCGATCGCTGTAAGAAAAAATTGTCACGTTGCGATCGTATATTTCTCTTATGACCACGGCATAACACAGCGTCGCCCGTACAAATCCCATTCACCGTTTTGTTTTGCTTACGCGCCTGGTATATAACTAGTACTGATTTTTTGAAAAGTTTTCAAAATTTTATCACATCTTAATAATAGCTTACGACATGACTAATATAGTCTTGCGTATGCCATTCGTCTGCGTTCGCGGTAAAAGTAGCTTTGCTCCAGGATTCTACCTACGGGGTAGCGATTTCTAAACAATGGTATCCGAGGCAGTATGAATATTCTAACTAAGGAAGTCTGGAAGTGTACTTGCATTAGAATTCCATTTGCGAGGGGACGGCGGTCGCCGGACCACCGTAGTGTTAGATCCGCCACTGCGTGACTCATTTACTGATATTAGACGGAAAACGCAAATAAATAAGCATGGATAAAAAGTTCACAGAACTTTTGTAATCGATATATCTCTGCTGCCACTCAAGTACTTTTAACAAGTAAATAGCCATTTTAAAGAGCATTTGAAACTGTTCTTATGGTGCAAAAATGAGGGTGACAGCTCAAGAAATAAGAGAGATATGCATCTGAGAATATTATGAACCTGTTTCAGGATGATTTTTTTACACTTTTTGCAAAAATCTTTGCACTGAATGTTTAATCAACTTTCGATCATTTATAACTGATTCGAGAGAATCAAAAGTACTCTACTAGAATCAGCATTTAAGGCTCTTTCCAGATGTATGTTTAAATTTTTTTCTGACTTATGGTTGGGTTTATTAAAAGGAAATCTTTGAAGGAACCAAAAGCGATATTTGTACAAAATGCTCTGTTCACAGAGCTTACAGGGTAGGAAATAATATTATTCCACCTCATATTTCAAGAGATATCAAATGAATTTTATACCAAATGAAAGCCCATCAAAAACGGAATTTAGGAGTATGACCGCTCATTCATAAGAGAAGAATGAACTATAGAAATATGGAAAGTTTACAGTTTTAGTCGTTCACCGGTAGTTAACCCAAAAAAAAAGTTCTCGGAAAATGCTTTTGTCTGTTGAACCTTGTAGAGCTTTCTACACTGATCATTTTGGGAAAAAAATTTTACAAATTTGATCGATAAATAACGGTGCTAGGATCAAAATACCGAAAACTTTAGACTGTTCCGACCAATACTGGTAATATATGTTTGAGTATTTTGATCTTAGTACTGCTATTTATTAGACAAACTGAAAAAGATTTTTTAGCAAAATGATCAGCAAAGGAAGCTCTACAAAGCCCGATAAAGGCATTCTAGAAATCTTTTGAAGTACAAGAATGTTTTTTACTATTCTGTAGTGAAAAATCGTCTTGAGCAGGGAAAAAAGAGTACATCTTGATATTACGACATAATTTAGATTGATCTTGACTAGATTATGAATTTTTTAATTATACTCGAAAACCGGCAAAAATGAGTTATTCCACCTAATATAGGTGTGAAGGATGATTAAAATGAGGTGGTTAAAACGAGACATCCCCCAGCTCTGCATTACCTTTCTTTGCGAAGTTATGGAATTTATAATGAAAGCCTTAAATGTTCATTGTCAGCTCAAAACTATAGAAATAAGAAAAACATAATTTAGCGCTTTTCTTGTGAATTCTATAACTCTGCAAAAGAGGTTTTGGTTATTCTTTAGGATTTCTGAAAACTGGTTTTTCAGAAAACCGGGTCTTCAAAGATCATGGGCATAAATCTTCTAGGATATTTACTACCTCATTGAGTTCTATCGAGCCATGTACAAATTATCTTAACCGGAAGGAACATCTCGAAAAGGGATTTTGCTTAGTCTTGATATAGAATTTTTATTAGATTTATGGAGACTTAGTTTCTCTTTATTGGTTTTAATGGTTAGTACTACAGTTGTCATTTTTTGTTATTTATATATATAAAAGATATATTTACAAATGTTTTTGTTGCTTTATATCTTTTGCTTGCTTTTAGAAAACAATTTTTAATTTACAGTAATAGTTTTTATTATTAATTGGGTTGGGGGTTGTTTCTTTTTATTTAATTTATTATTATTCTAATATTACTAGTTTAACCAATAGAATATTTACTGTGTTTCAAAATCGTGTAGGTGACTTTCTTTTTATTATTACTTTAGTTTATATAAATTGTTATTTAGGTCACTTTTGAGTGACCCTGTTTAGGGCGTATACCTGAGAAAACTAAAACGAGTAACGCAAAAACAACCTCGGATGTGTCGTATTCAGTGTGAGTTTTATATTCTCTTTTTTGTCCCATATTTTCTAGACTTGAAATTACTAACGAAGAAAGGTCCCCAAGTGTGAACCTTTTGCTTGAACTCTAGTGGAAAATAGGTAATCGACTGCGCTAAATCCGAATCTGGCATTGGTTTGTAGTGCTAGGCCTCCAGAGATCGGGTTTCTGAAAGATCATGCGGAAAAAAACCGGCGGGCAGAAAAACACGCTCGAGGTGTAGAGAAAGAAAGAAAGAGAGAACAGCATGCGGACTCTAAGTCGACAGTTCATGACGTTCACTTAGTCAGCTTAGCAATCACACTCACGAACTGTCTTTATCAATCTAGTTCATAATATCAAGTGAAGAACAACGACGGATGCATCCACTAATCTATGCCGTTTGTTAATGAGGACATCTTCCCTCCTTGTTTTAATGATTGTTAATTGTTTAAAAAATGAATATAAAAAAGTGATTTTATTCCATGGAATTAAACAGCATGCAATTTTTTTCTTCTAACTACTTTGTCATCTCTGATTTGATGTAAGTGCGTAAAACAAAAAATGATTTAATACACTGTTTTTTGCAGGTTCGTTCAAAAAAAAATGACAACAACTGCATCCCTTCTTAATTCTGTTTCTCAGCAATTGACGATCTATATTGGTATAGGTTTATTATTGTTTGGCAGTTTTGGCAATTCATTTAATATATTCATACTTTTACAAAAAAAATTCAGAAAAAATTCATCGACATTATACTTATTAATGGCGTCCGTGTTCGACTTATTTCTTCTGTTTTTTGGACTCATTTTACGAATAGTAATTAGTGGATTCGGTTATAATTTGCCAGTAATGTCAGTTGGATTATGTAAATTAAGATTCTATTTAACTTATGTTCTAGCTTTATCGTCATTGACATATAAATGCTTAGCGACAATTGATCGGTGTTGTTCAACGTGTCGTACTGTTAAAAGTCGAACATTTAGTAACCTATCATTGGCTCGACAGTTGTGCGTTCTAACAGTATTATTTTGGTTACTGACATTATTACCATTTCCATTATTAACTAATATTTATGTCATCGGAGAAGCAAATCAAACAAAATCAAAAGTATGCAATTATTATTCAATAATCTATGCAAATTTTCACCTTTATTTTAATAGTTTACTTTGTTTTAATTTAATTCCCATATTCGTCATGACATTGTTTGGCATATTAACATACAAAAATCTTCGTAACAGAATTGTTCCTCTACACCAGCGACGTTCACATCGGAATCGTATTGATGTTCAATTAACAAAAATAATGTTATTACAAACACTAATTGTTATCGTATCATCCGTTCCACCAACAATATTAAATATGTATATGGGTTTAACAATAGACACTGAAAAAAATTCGTTTCGTTTAGCCCAAGAAAATTTATTTTCAACAATAGTAACTCTATTTTTCTATACACAATATTCAACTGCATTCTATTGTTTTTCTATTTTATCGAAATCATTTAGAGAACAATGTAAGAAAATAATGAAGAAATACTTTAGTAACATTTGCGGGCTCTGCTGCTGGCAGTAATGCATATTTTGACGTTGTTACAAACGATCATGATGTTGATAAGAGAGTCTTCAACAATCCGGACAAATGCAACACAGTTTAGTGGTACGGATCGATCCAGTGCCCCTGTATGTTTTTTGTGAAGAATCTTTTTCTTCTAGTCATCGGATGTTTGCTAAAATACGAAAAAAAGAAACTATTGTAACGTCATTTTATTTTATGTTTATCTATTTTACTTGTTTCTTCCACTAGGCCTTCAAAGATCTGGTTTTCGGAAACTCTAAAAAAAGAACGAAAACCTTTCTTAAGTGAAGGCAAAGTAAATTCTAAGGACCTTATTTCCTTACTAGAATTTGTCAACGGATCTGTATCCATTCCTACCTGAACGTGTCTACTGTCGGACAGTAGACACGATAGACAAGAGAAGCCCGGAATGTTAATTGGCAGCTCAAAGCTACAGAAATAAGAAAAAACTAATTTAAAGCTTTTCGTGTAAAGTGTATGACTTTGTAAAGAAAGGTAATAGGAGCTGGGAGATCAGAAATGTGCGCGCTGCAATGCCTTGTTAAGAAAGGTTTTCGTTCTTTTTTTAGAGTTTCCGAAAACCAGATCTTTGAAGGCCTAGTGGAAGCTCTCATTTTCATATTCGAGATCGGCGTGGTCGATTACCTATAACCCATCGGGTTTGGCTGAAAAAGCGAGGTAACAGTTGGATATGTTTCCTCGTTAGAGATGCGTAAAATGCGCAGAACATTTCACAGAGATCGTAGTAGATTATTTGGATCACAGGAGCAGTTCCTTTAGGATCGTTATAATCAATTACTTATACTGCATAAACTTCAGATTCGAAAAGCATCCCTATCAAAATGCTTTTGGTTTTTTTACCGTATTTTCTTCAATAGAATTTAACATTTCTTTTGAATTCATTCCAAAACTTTTTTCCAACAGTTTCGGTTCTAAACAGTTCCAATTAACTGTAACTGGTGCATACCTAATTATAAGTACTGAATTCGTAATAAAAAAACTGGCAACTCAGTTTCTGAATACTATTTACGAGGGAACCCTCAATGTGATAAATCGCTTTTCGACTCAGACTATTTTCATCATGTGGACTTATGTCCTCGTTGCCTATATATGACAAAAGTTTGAGCTCATTCGCTCTTTCCTAATGGAAGATACAAAATGTTTTCTTTCGTGAGTAATCAGGGTGCCGGACCAAGAAAACCTTCTTTATATTTGATGTTTAAACAGTTTAAATTCAGATATTTAAGCTTTCGAATCATGCCACAGTGGGCAACTAAGCGGACATTAGGCCAAAAAGTCGATTTCGAGTGTTTTAAAAAATAAATAGTCCAAAATGTAGCCCTTTAAATTCTCTATCCAATGGTGTATAAAT